GGGGGATTCTGGCGGTTCGTGATGGCTGTGCTTGCCATGCCGGGTTGATGTGCCCGGACAACCCCAAATCGAAGCGTCATCTTTTGCCCCCGTCTAAGGAAAAAGAATGAGCGTGAAGCAGCTGTGTTTGGAGTTGATTTCCCAAGTTCCTGATTCGGATACTTATGATTGGGAAGATTCTTTGAATATTATTTGGAGATGTGAAAATTGTCTCTTTTCATGTGTTTGTGTCTGATTGCGATTTGAACGCAAACGATTTCAGCTGTTTGTGAACTGAACGCAAAATGGTATGACAAAATTTTTGATGGGCCGCGGTTTTCACAGCGGGCAGCGTCAATGCCGTGAGTTGTCCAATTTATCATGGCATTTCTTGAAATTTTTTGGGTGAGGGTTTGCGTCGGCAACGGCTTGTTGCACCGAGCCTGCCAGCGGGCACCACAACCTTAGCGACCAGGCTGCTTAGGTGGCCGTGCGGAAGGCAAGCGTCCACAGTCAATCAATCAGTGAATCAGGGTTGTGAATCGGTCAGTCAAGGCCTCCTGTTGAAACATTGGCGGACGAGATCGCTCAGCACGAGCGGCTGTGTGTTTGCGCGCTGGCAGGTTGGGCCACATGCTAGGGCCTGTCTGACAGCAGTGCTCATTGACCCGCTTCCACACCCCCCCGCGCTAATCCGACGCGCGAGCGTGACCTTTCACCAGCAGGAGCGTGGTCAAAAGCTAATGATCCGGGTTGGTCATCTCACGGAAGTGCACTTTGAATTGGTGAAGTTTTGCACACAGAACGACGCGAAGGGCACCTTTGGATCCATGAGGTCCACGAGGGTTGCAACCTCCATCTACAGACGCGGCGGGGCAGCAACCACCTCCAAGCTTGGCACCAAGTCATTCTTGTGTTGTTTGTAACCAGACGGGAACCATCTTTGCTGGGGATGTGGAGCTGGAAGGCCTGATTTAGGATGAACACACACGAAGAGTGCGCGGAATTTTTCCAAAGCACGAAGGCGGCAACCCTTCCCGGCCAACACACTCTGGCATCAAATGATCCAGCCCGTGAAGTCGTTCCTGAGAAATGTTTTTCGCCAGGTGATTCATGGATCCACGACGTTTTCCAGCCCAGGCCGGTGCAGGAGTTATTTGACCCAGATGACAGCGACGGGGTCCCAACTCACATGATGCACGTGCCCAAGCTTCTCCGTCCTTTTGCCTGTGTCCATGACCTGACGCTGATGTCCAGTTCATCGCGCATTTTGTTGCAATGTGGCAAAAAGCCCGTCCAGTCCTTGCCAGCCGCGAAGGTTGAGACTGTCAACCTATACAGACAGATGTTGTGTTTCCTGCGAAGATATCGGCAGCCCCGCCCGCAAGGCTGCTGAAGGACAGGCACGTCACGTGGGCGGGCGGTGCCAAACAAACCCCCAATCCATTCGGGATAGCTTCATCTTGGGCTCTACCTTGAGATCTTGGTGGACTATCACTATGGTACACAGTTGTTGGAGTTCAGGACAAAATTGATGACAGGCAGCTGGATCTCAAGATACGTGTCTTAAACTGCAAGATGTTGCAAGTGGGGCGCTTGGCGCTCCAAAAAATTCCCAACACAATTTCAATTCTATTGAGCCCTGGCAGCGAACGCTTTGACGCACGTAGCTGGCCTTTGTTTCCTGCAGGAACACTGGCTAGATCCTGCAACCGCACGATGGCCAAGCTAGGCACACCGGGAAAAACAGGCAAACATGATGGCTCCCAGACAATGTTGCGAAGGCGGGAGACCAAACAGCATTCTGGCCCCCAAAAGTTAAAAGTAAGACCGTGACGGTTGGAAAATGCAAACCATCTGCCAGGAAGGAATTACCTCCGCTAGGGCTTAGTTCCCCCTGCTGACGTGGACGACGGAGGCACCCCCAACGTCTGACCCTTTGCGGACAGCAGCAGTCTTCCTGTTTGCTCCACACCAAACTGCGTGCCTCACACAAGCGCAGGGGCGGAAAACCTCGCCGCTGCCCGGGGAAGTGCTTGCCCTACCAGATTGTTCGAGCGCCAAAACGCCCACATGAGCGTGTGACCCACAAAGGCGAACCACCAAAACCTGAAAAGGATCACGCAACAGGTCAGCTGAAGCGGCGTTTTACATGGGAGCGTTCTTGAGGCACTGGAAACCCCAAAAGCATTGGACCCATTGAAAGCTTCCAGCACAAAATGTGAGTTAGTCCCCAAATCCCCCAGCACCCCAGCTTTACGGCGGTTTGCGGGCGGCGCAGGGCACACATGTTGGAGCAACAGGTAGCACGCCTCGCTTGTCACGCAACACGTCAACATTTTGAGCCAGTGCATGGGCAGCAAAGCAAGGCCCTTCCGGATCGTGAGGCAAAACCTGTGTCTGCAGGCAACGCACGCGCGCCGGCTCCGCCCTTGATCACGCAGACGGTGTGAATCACGCCAGCAGTCGACGCTGTGCGCTGAAAACCGGCGGAGGCACACAAACGCACACCCGGAGACGGACTCTAAACAAGACCAACTGCGGCTATTGCGCACACTGGCAACGCGGGCCAAGAGGTCATTTCTCAGGTCATTCCTTTGCAGAACCATAGCACGATGTACGCCGAAGAGCAAGATCGAACTGATGCCATGGTGGGACGTCGAATCCCGCCCGTCGCAAACAAGAAGGACGCCGAACCCAAGACGGCGGCCACGCAAAAAAGAGGAAACCCTTCCCCACATTGTTGCCAGACTGTACTGCGTGGCCAACCAACCCCTCCACGTCCCCAAGCCAAGGGGTATCTCCCGGTTTTGGGAGAAGGGCTGTCCAATAACCCAAACCAAAGCCGGGACAGTTGCACCCTCCGTGTGTCGGAGGGAGGGCATCCAAAATTGGGGGCAGGTCACGGTTGGCCAACAGCCCCCGTTTAGTATACGACAGTTAAATTTCGTCATCAACAATTAGGCAGTATGAGCAAGCTTTTGTTTATCAACAGGAATTCATCATGACGACACCACATAACCAGCTGTGTACAGTGACTGGCATCGTGTGGGTTGGATCGCGACCCCCGCACTTGTCATCGATTTTGGTCCGTCAGATCCCTTGGAATTGGGGATGTTGACGTACTGGAGATGCATCAGCAATCATGGATGGTGAGGGCTTGCGTCGCGATCCTCGTAGTTGATAGTCGCTTTTGGACCATCATACCAGCTCACAATCGTGAACGTGAGAAGTAAACAGGATCGTTGAGGTCGGGTTCCCGATCCTCGTGATTGTCATTGCTTTTGGGCGCTCGGATCCTCCTGGGACTTGGAAGGAGTCAGCCGTCACAGGGACCGTGGGGGTCGGCGCCGCGATCGTCATCCCCCAACCCTGAAAAACACCACCCGACATGCTGCAGCTTTTCCAATTTGTGCCCCCTTTGCTTTGGCATGTTCATCGTTTTCCTATGTTTTCTTTTCATGTGTCGGACAGCTCACCAGTGTGGCAAACTCATTTGGCAGGTGTTGACGTCGGGCTTAATGTGTCAGTTTCCGACGGGGTATATGTGTGGCAACTTTGGTCCAGTAACAGGCGGGGTTCAGAAGATCCACAAGGCTTTCAACCGTTGGCTGGTTTCCTGGCTGTTTGCCGCCTTTGCGCCCACAGCCTGCTACGCGACAAGTTTGCTCCTGTTTGACCGTCTGGTTTTTTGAAGAAATAAAGTTGTTTGCTGAACACTTGCCGGGTAAAACCGTCTTGTGTGCTGATATGTTCGATGTTGAATGCATTGGACGGAGGAGGTAATGGCATGCGTTTGCAACCTTGCAACATCAAAATCATGTGGGCCGAGAGACAAAACTTCATGAGAACAAGAGGGGCTCATGGTGGTGGCAAAAACATCCACGAT